AGTTTCCAAGTTTCGCAGTCAGTGTGCCGAATCGAGGTTCGAGCATTTAGAGTCAAGTAGTCTAGCGCTACCCCCAACGACACAGTGGGGTTCCACAGAACCGCTGAGTCGAATTACCAAGGACGCTAGACCAGAAGAATCTCACCTCGTCCTTTCGGATTCAAACTATAAAATATTGTTTGGGAATTCAATCACAGATTCAACTGTTATAACTAAATAGTTAAAATTGGTAAATGATACGCAAAAATGTAATTTTTTTTAAGCGAAAAGCATTATTTTACAGCTTGAACAATTCATTTGAAACAATTAAATTATTTTATTTCTACAATATTTCTAGATTATTATTTAATAATTTTCACGAGTTTCATATTACAATTAAACAATTAAATTAATTATTTCATTCAATAATTCAAGAACATTTCTCTTAAGTATTCATCGTTCGAGATTGTCATAAATTATCAGTTAAAAATTTTAAATAACACTTTGAAACATTAGTGAAGAGAATTTATCGTTTAATTGTTGCAAGTAAATTATTAGAAATATTAGATAATGTTTAAACAATTAGAATATTCAGAAATTCATATACCTCGTCTGTGGTTAGTTGGAAACAATTGTATGTTCTGAAATACCGATCCCTTATCGATGGATAAGAAAAGTTCTGCCATCTATTAAAGGTACTTAAAACTACAGATACGGAGAGAGATAATCAGCAAGAATAAAAATTTGTATCAAAAAAACTGTTTGGTACTTGTCATATATATTCCTAGTTATGTTTACGAATGATTCTGATTCAAATATTAAATAAAATTATTTACGCGCGAGTCTTTCGATCTGTTGAACGAGATTTACAAATCTTTATTCATACATTTTACAAATCAAACGGAACGCACGAAAGAAGTTGAGGATCTAACTTGGAAGATTCAACTGCAAAAGTTTATAAATTAATCTTCTTAATTAGTCTTTTTTGCAAATTAAACTTAAATCAATTTATGAGCACTGAAATGTTAACGCCGCGAATTGGATGGAATTAAAATCTATCGCTGTCTTTGTTGCACGCAAGCGCGGTCCTTGTTTATCGAGTGTGCTGCCATCTATGCCCCCCGCCCATCGACTGGAACTAAAAACATAAATTGGAAAATTTCAATAGGTGGCAGCACCTATCCCGTTCGTAGATAAAAAGCGCAATAGTGTGTGACAAGGACAGACATGTGCTGTGTGAAAGACAAAGAGCGCGCTGGTGTTCGACAAGGACAACAATGGATTTTAGTTCCGCCCTTTCGCCGCTGGCATTTCGGGACCGATAAATTGATTAAATTTTGATTTGCAAAAAAGAGAAAGTAATTGAGATTATTAATTTATGAACTTTTGCAGCTCCACGTTTTCAGATCTCAAGCATTCTTCTCATTTGATTTGTAAAAACGCACGAATAAAAATTTACAAATTTTGTTAAATCGAAACAGGTACTCGTTCAGATAGATTTCGTTCAATTTCTTGCAAATTATATTCGATACTTGAATCGGAATTTCCGTTCGTGAATATACAGTCGAAGGTGTGAACAATAAGTTTCATACAATTTTGAATATAAATTTTTATTTAATCGATTAGTTACTAACAATTGTTACATTCATTACAACATTATTCATTGTTGCACGTAGCATTGATGTCATGAGTTTTGCGTACAGTTTACACTATATCGAATTAATTTACCAATATGTTTGGGTGTAATATAAAGGAATAATTTTATACTTACATAAAATTTAATTTACACTGTGACATAATGATTTTATAGCAAATGTTACGAGTTACAATATATTCTTATTAACTGGTACTTGTAAATTTTTCGCATACATTTACATTTATTTCCTGTAAATTTCCTTGTTGTATTTAATACTTATTTGAAAAATTGTAACATATATATTAAAAAAATTCATGGAGATCTTCTATCGTCCTCTCGTTCTGACTAAGAAACTATCGATTATCTTCAGTTTCTTTCCCGATTTCTCGAGTTCTCACCATTGTACAACAGAACCATTGTTCTATTAACTTTTCTCGCAAGTGATTGAAAGGGATCGTAAACGAAATTTCCAGTTCTATATACATTTACACATTTGTAGGAAATTTTACAATGCACGCAGTATTGAAAAAGTGAGCAGCAAGTGAGATATTCATGGTACAGTGGTTCGAATAATACTCGATGCACGTGAAGCAATTTTCCATCACGGTGTTATTTTTTTTTCTTTTTTTTTCAGTTGTATTATCAAAACTACCAACTCGTATGAATGTCCGTTTAGTTTATTCGTTCATTCTTGCCACGAAAGAATTACTCCAGGGATTGATTTCGAGTAGAATATTATTTTACCAGAGGAGGATCGTCAAAATATAGTGGAAATTATTTCGATAAAAGGGGAATAAAATTACTTAGATAAGAAGGAGGCGCGTTTGTCAAAATTTTTCCGCAGATCGGATATTTTCAATATTTCAAGAATCGT